GTGTATAAGTTTCTTGACCACGGTGCCACCAGAGTCGCACTGAAATCGCTTCAAACCGTCCCACTGGACAATGGGATCACTTCATAAGAAGTTCAGTTCAGGGTGCGGAGAAGCAAAGTACACCTGCTCGACTGCACTGGTGCTCGGAGTGGACACTTGTGCGGATGCCCTGATCGGAAGAACTCTGAAAACAAATGATCGCCTCGATCTTCTACTAGCTGACGCTCTGACGCTTCCTTTTCGGTGAGTAGTAGGCTCTCAATGAATAAGCAAACACTGCAAGGAAAGGTAGCCAGATATGTTGACCTGAAAATAGGATGGTGACTGCTGTGGTTTCCAACGGGTACCCCCCAGGAGGCCCGTCGCGCGGCAAGAAGGCAGAGTCGGCGGACGAGTTGCAGCGCGTGGTGTGCGATGTAGGACGTGCAGTGGGACACTCTATTTAACTTGACGCGAAATCCCTATAGTACGCGCGCGACTCGTCCGCTGGCTCGTCTTAAGAGAGAACGGTTGGAGGTAAGCAAACCAGCCCTTTTGGCGTTTCGGCTGGGACCGTATGCTGAATGTTGGGGAGGGGGGATGGGGTCCCCAACGGTCGACGGTTTACTTCAACTCGGTTGGTACGATAGGAGAGTACTGACGCAAGTGGTGCAGCTGGTCCAGCAGCTCCGCCAGAAGGGCTGGTTTGCTCACCCCAGGACTAAGCCTTGGAGAGGGGACGACCCGTCCTCTCTTTAAGGCTTAGTTCTGAGGTAAGCACCAAATTGTGGCGGTTCTAAGGACCGAGTTGAAGTGGTCCGTCCACCGTCGGGGACTCCATCCCCTCCCCAACATTCAGCATACGGTCCCAGCCGAAGCGCCAAAAGGGCTGGTTTGCTTACGTCCACGGGTCCGCCCTCTCTCCAAGGCTTAGTCCTGGGGTGAGCAAACCAGCCCTTCTGGCGGAGCTGCTGGACCAGCTGCACCACTTGCGTCAGTACTCTCCTATCGTACCAACCGAGTTGAAGTAAACCGTCGACCGTTGGGGACCCCATCCCCTCCCCAACATTCAGCATACGGTCCCAGCCGAAACGCCAAAAGGGCTGGTTTGCTTACCTCGACTTTGCCTTCTTGCCGCGCGAAGGGCCTCCTGCGGGGTACCCGTTTTCAACAGCTGCGGCAATACGAGTGGTCGAGAAGTTTAAGTAATGCCGTTTTTGTTCAAATAGATTTTTACTATAAGATCCCAGCTTTTCTCATAAGGTTATTATCATTTACAAGAAATTTGTTCGCTCTATAAGAGACGTTATAACTGTCACATATCAGTCGAAAGTGACAGGAGTGACGTGCTGAATAACTGGCTTGTAATGGGAGGTACAGTAGATGAATTAGCCGAACAGACAACTCAATCAAATTCTATGTTGCTCCCAAAAAAGTCAATCGGTAACGTACTCTTTTCTTGAACACGACCTCTTTTCAGACTTCCATAATATAAACCTCCAACAAGTCGTAATGTTCTTTTTTAAGATTTGGTTATCCAACCAGAACTCAATACTTGACCGCTATCTCGTCGAATCTAGACCACGTTTTTTATCGCCGAGGCATCGAAGACCTGACGAAGTGCTTAACATCAGTCGTAATTGAGTATGGGGACACCACTAACTAATTTTTCTGCATTTTTCGAGGGATTTTTTTTTGAAGAAATGGCTTCTTTCGCACTGGCTGGGCACCTTATTACGTAAGCCTAAAATGTTACCATAACCACAAAGTAAAGAAGGAAAAATCAAGACATGATTCCGTATAGAGCAGAGAAATGTGTGTACGTGGTTACTTGAAAACATTGAGTTTCGGGGGAAAAGTTCTGGTGTAAAGAAGCTACGATGGTACAGCGCTATTCGGAAAAGTGGAATTCCAAAAAAGAATGATAAGTTATAGTTGAACGTTCAAGAAGGAATGTTAGGAAGAGTTCTTGTTCAAGAAATGGGTACGCTACCGACTGTTTTCTTTGAGAGGAAGCTAGAGTTCGAGTTAGTTGTCGGTCCGAGCTCCATTCACTAAACCTCCCAATTCAGCCTGTAATTCATTTCTCTTACAACGAGTATGGAAAAATTACAATACATCTTGTAGAGGATAATTATCTTGCGAATCACAATCACAATAATATTGTGTGAGAAGCTGGGATCTCATAGAAAAACTTCCATTTGAAAAAAACGTGATCAATTATCGGACAACCTAATGAATCTATCCCGCTGTTGAACCAATGAGTCCGTTGCTCTATAATTATTCTACTGATCACTGATCCTGATGCTCGCCCAATCGGCATATCCTGAGCCGCACGCAGTGCACTAGGCTTAATACAATAGTGTCAAGGGTAAAACGGTGGCCCAAAACCTACGCACTCTACTTCTTGGAAGTAATTGAGTTGGGGAAAACGCGAGAAAGATTTAGAATCCATTTTGTACCTCCACCGAAGTGAGAAGCGCTTACTGACTAGCTCTCAGGAATAACAACCCCAACATTTTCAAAGATGTTATCAATTTTTTAAGCCATATGTCCCGTTGAGAGAAGTGCTTGAAGGAAATATTTCTGAAAACTAATTGATGTGAACTATCTCTAAAACTTTTCAGGGACAATACAGCCGATGCTGTGCTGAATGTCTCGGTCTTGCATCATCTGTCCACGGCAACTCGACGAAAAGCAGCGCTCGAAGGTGAGGCAATGCGATGCTATTGGAGCTTTTGGTTGTCAACTTCTTGTTGACCGCGGCCACAGTGTTTTAGAATGCGTTTAGCTGTTAGGATAGACCAACATAAAAACAAACTTTTCCGACCAAATAGGTGCACATGAAAATGACAAGATGTGTGAACTGGAACAGCTGTGGAGAAAAAATGGAACAAAGAATCCGTAGAAAGCTCTAGAATAGGGCATTCTTCGTTTTTGTAATTTAAATGTGCGAAGGTAATGAGAAACTAAACACGGAGGAGAGGGGACAAATGAGAGAGCACAACGGGCGAGAGGGCACAGACATCTCCATGTTGCGAACAAGAAACGGTGGAAGAGATCGCACCACTCGACCTTACCGCTCTTGATGTGCCCTTTCAAGCCATGAGGAGAAATCTGAAAGTCAAGCGGACAGCTCAGTCCCGAACACCAAAGAAATTGATCCACCTGCACCAATCGTGGGCTGTGTTTTTAACTTATCGCATCGAACACTCTATAAGTGTCATGCTCTAGTGCACACAGTTGGAAGAATGACGACGATTTTGACGATTTTGAAGGAAAGAGGCTGACGGACTTCAGCTGCGCTATACACAGAGCTGAGTCTCAAAATCAAGGCATACGTAAGTGATCCATGAAAACATCTGCACCTTAGACGCAATTTTCATCTAAATGAAACTGCTGTAGGGCCAGACATATTGAGACAACCACGTTTTTATTCTTACGTGCCCGTGCGAATAACCCAGCCCGGAATATGGAGGGCTCGCTTATTTTGCCGTAGCTCTATAGAGCTATGGAAAGCGACGCCACTTACCGCGGCACCATCTCTGACATGACATGCCAGAAAATTGTTGAAAAAGAGTCATTGGTAGAGCAATATTTGATGGGACTCAGGGTAAGATAAAGACAAGCGAAAATTCCAGTCAGCCATTAAAAGGGCTGTATCAGTTAAAAGGGTATCCAGAATCTGAGAAGGGTTTCTGCCCTAAGTTTCCTAGCGAAAGTTTTGCACATAACTCAGCATTTTTGTGAACATCTGATGACATTTTGCAGAATGTGCTAGATGCCTGCGACCAGGTGGACGCATGCTGGCTTATGTTTGGGCATACGAGCAGCCGAATGGCTCTTTCCCGTCGCAGGATCTTCTAGTGCCATGGAATTTAAGTGAAATACCTATCAATGGTAAGAGCTTTTGCAAAATTATCATGTCAAATGAAGATATTCAGCTTTGTGGCCAGCATTACCTTTTTCCTCTTTTCTGTAACTTTGCCGCTTAATGTTGCTCTGTTGTGCATATGACACACAACCAGGATGAATAGCGGTCGAGGAATTCCTCGACCATGTATGGCTCTGACTGAGAGTAGTGCCGAGAGTGAACGTACGCGCGGAGAGCACAGACGGCTCGCGCATGGCGAGTGTGAATGTCGCGCGGGAGAGCGTAACTGATCAGGCGAAAATCCTCGACAAGCCGTTGAGGAATCCTCGACCGATATTCACCTTACACACAACCACTCTAAGGTTACTTCGAGTTCCAGCTTTAAAGTCTTGTAATGGCACACCCACAATCAAACTGGTGTGATGTCTGAACACGAAAATGAGAGCAGAGATGCGATAAGGATACTAGTGAAGAAAAAGGAAGAAGAATCCGTCAAAAATGCTAAAATTAGCAGCTTGCACATTTTTTGTGAGTCGGCTGAGTTAGGACAAAGAGGTTCTGAGGGCTGAGAGTAAAAAATAGAAGAGAAAGCACAACGGACCATACTGCGCAGACGGGAGACGGTCAATTCAATCGTCGGCTAATGAGGTCACGCCGCTCACGCGGCGAGAATCGTCGCGCGCGGCAGTTGCTGCGGCGATTTCTGTGTGGACCTTTTCTTATCCATCCATGTCCATAAGTTGGCTAGGTGACTGATAAGACCAGAGTGCTGGACATCAGTAAGCCAGCAAGCGTCACTGTAAGATCTCTGCAGTGATTTAAGCCTCACAGTACAAAGGTTGTACCATGTAAAGGTTGTCCTTTTGGATTTAATTTGACTTCTTTATTAATCAGCTGCCTGAATTTCTATCAGAGAGTGATAATCTGGTTCAATCAGAAAGAATATCACGTTCCAAGACACAGAACAACAGTGAGGAAGGGTCTAACAGCATGATAGGGTGTTACAGCCTTCCTCGTTTCCTGAGTAATGGCAAGAGACAAGTAGCCTGTATTATCGGGTTAGGTGATTCCTATTCCATGTTTCAAGTCTGGAAACTTCATCTAATCTTACATTCCCAATGTTTGAATGCTGAATCCAGCAACGCCGCCGCGACATCGCGGGCTGCGGCGGCTGGCGCGGCGACCTAGCCACTGCCATGACTGAATCCGAAAGAAGAGACATCTGCGACCTCAGTAAACAACCCCTTGGTCAACCTGCACTCATTGAGTGAGTGGCCTGCCTTTGAAGACACACACCTGGGACAAGATCATTGAGTGATCACTTCACCACTTACTGGGTGGGTGGGATAGAGCTGTTTGCAAATTTCAACGTTGCGCCATTCACACACCAAGTGGGAGGCAAGTGTGCGGGATTTCACCAATGCTCTCGATTAGTGACCATCACGCAACTCCTATCGCCCGCAATGTAGCATCCTGTGTACACGTCTGTGCCCTCTCATCCAGTGTGCTCTTTCGCGTATTCTCGCTTCTCTGCGCGCTGTTTCTCTGTCATACCATGGCCAATTTTACGAAACGTTCGAGGTCGCATTCTAGTATTTCCTATGTTTTGTTTTGCTCTCTTTTTCAGTTCCGGACCCAGAACCACATCCATATCCATTACTGCCGCTCATACACACGGTCTTTACTTTAGGCGTGCTTTCTCAAGACCAAGTCCGTGGAGGTGATCCTTCATGAGCACCTTAGCTTCTGCGCTCTCACTGGATTGCGCCTATGTGACCAGAGTTCGGTTACTCTCACCCTTGTGCCTTACACTCCTGCCTTAGTGCAGCTAAGACTGTAGCAGCTGTCAGGTATTGTTGCGGAGTTGTTGATCAACGCAGCAAAGCAGACAAGACATCGATCGGTGGGCGGACCATGTTAAGTTTATTGGAGTCT